TCTCCACACCACCTGGCAGACCTCCTGTGTCTCTGATGGACACTTAGGGGTATGGGGAGTGTTGTTTATTATTGCAGACCCCACAGTGGAGTTTGGGCACCCTGGGCGCTCCCCCTTTACTCCATGGACTCTCTAAATTATACAAGTACAGCTCCAACTGAGGGTCAATCTAGAAAACAGACCCACATTCCATGCCATCTAACAGCCCTCCCTGCAGCTAGTCTCTCATGGTCTCTGTGCAGACACGCTCACACTGCTACATTGTAGCTTTGCAGCCCCCTAAGTTCATCGCAGGCAACTCTGTTGTTCTTGTCTTCGAGTGTGTCCACAGGATGCCAGAAAGTCAACTCTCTCCATGGTTTCAATGTATTCCAGTCCCAACTGTGGGTTTTCCTGACTCTTTTTTCCTTTTTAATTAGCATGCAAATTTATATCCATTTTAGATAAATGGTAAAATTATGTGTAGAACAAAGACATTTTAAAACAAAACTCTTAATGATTTTCTATCAATGTTCCTGCTTTTCTTTTATGTTGTTAGTACAGTTTGACTTATGAAGGGCTAAACTCAAATTCTACTTATTGTTACTCAAGGATGACTTTTGAGCAAAAAAGACTTCTTAGCTCAGCACCTCTGAAAACAAATTAAAATCCTCCTTAGAGGAAAACTGCTTCAGGACCACAGAAAGCTCCCAGACTGCTTTCTCCTAAAAGCCCTGACCAGGATGCCTTTCAGTGTACAGTTCTTGTGGTCCTGATCCTGTGGTCCTCCATCTCTGCACTCCTTTTTTAAAAGGGCCGCACTCCCTGTGCTTACTGTGTGTGAAGTCTGATTAAGTCTGATGCCCACGATCTTTTCCTGCCCTTACCGCCTGGAGGGAAAGCAATGGCTTGCAGGAAGGGACACAGTCAGGATAGGAGGCTCCTGGGCCTGCACATTTATAGAATTCCTCATCTCTCCCTTCTGTAGGGGCTGAATTCTGCCATCCCCAAAGACCACACAGAGGTCCTATCTTGTCCCCATGCCTCAGAATGTGAATGTCTTTGGAGACCAGGCCTTCAAAGAGGTGATCGCATTGACATGACACCCTGTAACCCAAGATGATGCTTATAAAGAAGGGGACTTTGGACATAGGCACACAGAAAAGATGATGTGGACACACAGGGAGAAGGTGGCTCTGTTCAAGTGAAAGAGAGAGGGGTGTGAGGAACCCAGCTAACCTGCCAGCTGACACCTTTCTGGGAACCGAGTCAGGGGCTGGGAAGATAGCTCGGCTGGTAAGAATGCCTGAAAACCTGTGCTTGACTCCAAAGTCCATATAAAAATGCTGTGCACAGCACAGTGGATCTGTCATCCCAGCATTTCTACGAAAACATGAGTGGTCAAGATGGAAGAATTGTTCAGGAGCATGCAGGACAGCTAGACTCGAGTGCACAGTGTGGCCGAAGCCGCAGGAGAGACCCTGCCACCCAGGTAGAAGGAAGGTGAGAGCTGCCTCCTGAAAGCTGTCCACTGACTCACCTGAGCGCAAATGAACAGAATAAAGAAAGATGTGTCACCTGCATGCCCTCATTCACACACATGCCACATACTAAATCAAATTTAAAAATTGAGCAAAGGATTGACAACATTTCGTTGTCAGTCAGCCAGGGGAACTTCGTTAAAGCATCCTTGTTAAGTGCATAAAGCCTTCTCTCCCGGGTCTATGCGCCGCTGACCTGTCTCTTTCCCACAAGTGCTCAATCTGGCTCCATGGCAGTTGTAAGATAATTGAGGGTTATGGGGGAAGGGTGTTCCAGACAGGGGAAGAACTTATGCAAAAAAAAAAAAAAAAAACCCAAGGCAGGAAGGGGCTAAAAGTGTTGGTGGTACAGGAAGTGTGTCAGTATGGTCAGGTTCCCTGGAGCTTAGAGGGTGGAGACAGGGGCAGAAGATGATCCCTGTGGGGCAGGACAGGAGCTTGGATTTGAACTCTTTTGGTCTTTAGGCTGGCTTCCACATCACCTGGCTAGTCTCTTCCCCCACCGCCCAGTACATGCGTGTAGAAGGAGAGAAGCCAGGCCCGGCCCGGCCCAGCCCAGCCCAGCAGAGCCCCGCCCAGCCCAGCCCAGCCGAGCCCCGCCCAGCCCAGCCCAGCAGAGCCCCGCCCAGCCCAGCCCAGCAGAGCCTCCCTGTCTTCAGCACCCTTTGTTTCAGGCGCCTTAGACTACAAATGCAAACACCTCGCTGCCGCCAGGAGCAATAGGAAAAAAAAAAAAAAGAATCAGAAAATAGAGAGGGAGAGGACAAATCGTCTCTTCCAACCCCTGCTGAGCATGCAGAGTGAGGGACATATGGAAATTAATATATTCGGCTCTGATAACACGGTTTTCCTCGGCGTTTTGATTAAACGCCGACGGTTATTAAATACCCTCCTCCTCCGTGCTCAGCTCCGAAAGCCAGTGTTGCTTTTCATTTTGAACTCTGATGAACTGTCGCGCGCTGCTCACACACCTCAGCTGAGCCTCAGCCCGCTGTAGGCTGGCATCGGAGGGGAATGGAGAAAATCGATATGAGATGTCAGGCAGGAGGTCAGAACGCAGAGCCTCCCCAGTTGGCAGGCTCTGGGGCCGGTGGCTTTGGAACAAAGGGAGGTGTGCTCTGAAGAAGGTCAGCTTTTTGGCCCAGTCAGGGAAATGAATCTATTTCTTCTTAATTAGATTACCAGGCTGGTGCCTTGCAATGAAGAGGTGGGCAGCTTTGATGAAGGCTTGTGAATGTACCCACTAGGGTCTCCCTAGGGACTGTGCTCAGGACTTTGATCTTGTAGGGGTGGCTGGAAGGAGGAGCGGACTCTGGGGGCTCCCGGGCATGTGTCCCGAGAGACTTCCTGTGTCTGTGCACTTGGATGACCCCTTCCTATACTCTTCTTCCTCCTTGGGTTTTACATTTCAGCTCAGCAACCATTGCCTTGTAAGGTCCCCATGATGCTAGCTGACAGTGCAATGTTCCATGTCACTTGGGACACTGGCGATGCTCTAGGTGTTCGTGATCCTCTAACGGAGGCAGGTGTCTTCATCCTTCGGTGTGCCTCATTTTCTCTGTCAACTTGACTGGTCACAGGTGCTCAGCTGCTTGGTCTGACACTCTGGTGTTTCCGCTAGGGTGTTTTGGGATAAGTTTAACATTTAAATCAATAAATATTAATGTGGAGGAGCCTCATCCAATAAGGTGAAGGCTTGATGGGAGGAAAGAATTGGTCCTCTTGTGAGTGACAGAGCCTCTCCCCGCCTGGCTGGTTTGGGGTTGCGATGATTACCCGTTGCAGTTGAATTGAGACTCTTGGCTCATCAGCCTGGTGGCACGTGGGATGGAAGACCGTCCCCTCTCCCAGAACTTAAGCTTGCTGGCTGCAGATCTCAGGATTCAGTCTTCATATGTGAGCCAGTTCCTAATAATAAATCTCTTTATGCACGCCACCTGTCATCCCCCCTGCTCTGTTAGACCTTGGCTAATACAGCGAGCTCCGAGAGACAGAGAAGTACTGCTTTTGCTCACCCTAGTGTTTCCAGAGTTGGATGTAGTGCCTGGCATATGGCATGGACTTGGTGAATCTGAATAGTGAGTAATGGGGCCTCCTGTATCTGGTAAAAGGGTAGGGGTTCTAAGTACGTTACAGCGACAGGCCTGTGGTTGGGGTTCCGAGGAGGATAGGAACCATTCTGGATGCCACCTATTGCCCTCCTGTCACAATCAGAAGATGCCAGCACTGTCTTATTCAGGAAATAGTGTTAATCTCTTCTGCCCACATGCCCTGTGGGGAATGTGGGGCTCAGGAAGATTACCTGAGGTCACATGGGTACCAAGTGCCAGAGTTCAGCTCTCCAAGTACCGTTCTAAACCATTCTCATTTAAAATCCTTCTAAAGCCTTGTCCACTCTCCAGCTTAAGTGCTGGGTTCAGCTGGCCAGTCAGTCCACAGTCTATTCCTCTGCATTCAGGACTCATGTGGGCCTGCCTGACTTCAAAGCCCAGGCTGGTCGCTGTCACACTGGCTGTGAGGGCATCACAGCTTCTTGTGGCCCCTCAGGAATCTCTGTAGGTCAGGGTCCCTCCCACCTTGTTCCATATTCACTTACCAGAGAGAACCTGTCCCTCCCAGGTAGCTCAGGTTACCCCACACTCAGCAGGTCCCAAAAAGAACACAAACGCTTCATGCCTAGTAAAACTTCCTGTAGCCCCCATGCCACATACAATTCATGTCAGCCATTGGGCATGTCTTCCTCCACCTTTCCCCGAATCCTGCATTTACTCCTACCTCTTCCCTCCCTGCTTCTTCTATCCCATGATTCTCAACCTATGGGTCACAACTCCTTTGGGGGAGGTCACATATCAGATATCCCACATATCAGTTATTTGTATTGATTCATAACAGTAGCAAAATTACAGTTTTAAAGTCGCAATGAAAATTCTTTTATAGTTGGGGGTCAGCACAACATAAGGAACTGTGTTTGGGAGTCGCAGCACTAGGAAGGTTGAGAACCGCTGACCTAGTCCTTCCCCAGCTCTCTTCTATCTTCACCACCCACCCCTCACAGTCCGCAAGTCTGGTTAACCCTGCTGCCGAGACGGAGATCTGGAATTCTCTGCTGCTAACCACGCCACCCCATTTCCTTGTCATTGCCCCCCCCCCCGCTTTGACAGCTTCTTCACTGTTTCTCAGGGCCGTTCTTCCTCCCCACAGCAGTGAATGACCTCCACAGAGAATTCAGATCAGATCCCAGTGCTCAGCCCTCGATGGCAGAGTTCCCTCTGCGTCCGTGTGCTTCCAACTTGAACATGGGGCTTCCCCTTCTCAGGAACAATAAATGTGGGGGGCTGACTCCCCAGTCAGCCTAACACTTGTGATTTCTTTAGTCCCAGTGTTAAATGAGATGGAACCCTTCCAGGGCCCCCCCCCCCTCCTCCCACATGTCAGAGGCCAGGGCACCTCTCCCCCAGGGCCCTTGTGCTGGGTACTCACACTTGGTGTGCCTGTCACACAGAGCCGATGCCCGCATGTCACACAGCCGGATTGTCCCCTTGCTGCTGCTGTATACAAAGGTGTTGCAGTGATGGGGGTGGAACTCGGCTGCCGTGATCACCTCTGTGAGCTCTTCCATGTTGGCCGGCTTGATGTCCACGATATCTGGCACAGACGAGTAAAGGAAGGGCAAGGAGAAGCGGGGAGAGCCTGGGGCAAGAGCGGCCCTTGCTGTGAGCGCTATGGGAGCATTTACCGCACACAGGGGCATCTCACTGGGAGGCCATTAGCAGAGAAGCAGGCAGCAGTCATTTCTGGCAGCTGAGGCTCAGGGACTTTAAGGGATGGGGGCTACCCCGTAGTCAGTGGTAGCATTAGAGCTTCGGTCTAAGCTGGGTGTGGTGCCCCATAATCACTGAACTCAGGAAGCCGCAGCAAGAGGATCACTGTGAGTTCCAATCTAGCCTGGGCCACACTGTGAAACCCTGTCTCAATGAACTCAAGTTTCAGGACTCCTCGATTCTATTTCATCTTCTGTAACACGTAGAGGATGAACTCACACTTGGCCGGGAGATCACGTGAGAGTGTCTCCCACTCTATAACAATAGCTAAAAATCCAGCCAGTCCCGCTGTAGCCAAACTATTGATTTTGAACTCTTCCTGGGATCGCTAGGCTGGTAAATGATATCTACAACGGGCTGCAAATCCTCTTCCGTGAACTATCCATAGAGCCATAGAAGCTGCCACCCAGTGTGGGGTCATTAAAGAGTCTCTCAGGATGCATATCTCGAACTTGTCTCATTTAATCCTTAACAACAACAATATCACGAAGAACACTTTTTACACCCACTTTCAGGGCTGGGAGTGGAGGCTATGTGAGCATTCAAGAAGTTTCCACAAGAGACATGGTTAAGGGACTGGGGAGAAAACTACTCAGCCGGTGAAGGAGCTTGCTGCTAAGCCAGTTTGAGCTGAGTTTGATCTTCTGGGACCCACAGGTGGAAGGAGACAATTAACTTCTACAAACTGTATTCTGACTTTCACAGGTAGGCTGAGGAACACGTTCACTACTCACCTACACACACACTATATCTAGCATCTATCTATCTATCTCTCTATCTCTCTATATAGATATAGAGGTAGAGGTGGATGTATATACATGCATACATATATACATATATATCCAGGTGCAAAGCCTGGGAGATTTTATAATTGCCTATTAGTCTCCATAAGCTGTAATTTGCTAGAACTGGGGTGTTGGGTGGGAGCTTAAGTGTCAGAAAGAAATCATCTATGTGGAGTGAGGGTTTGGGATAATGTGGGATATACTCAGTTTATATCTCCAAGTTCCCACCTCCCCATTCCCCAGTATATCCCTTTGTAATATATCACATATACATATATACACACATCACACACATACACACATATGCATCTATATATATACACACATATATGTGCACACACGTACACACATATACATATGCACGTATCTATTTCAGGCTATATCCTTGTGTATCAGAATTAAACATTCAGGCTTATGTTTACAAAGGCAATTCAGTGGAGATAAAAACAAATTCTTTCCAAAGGATATATAGCAGAAGTGAAGGAATGGGCTTGCATATGCCCTGGCTGGAGCTGAGGTTCTGTCTGGGGACCAGCTGTACCTTGTCATGTGGATATTGGGGTGCAGCAGAGCTAGGCAAGGGGACCTGCATTCCACTGACCCTACTACTCACGGGCCGCCTTTTTCATGTTTGCCCCATCACCAGTTTCTTTTTTTTAAACTTATCATGTTTTTCTTTAGATTGCTTCACTTTTCATCTCTTACTACTTAGCTAAGTAGTAAGCCAATATTCATGAAGGGATGAGTTTAATCATCTACATGAAAATGAACATACAGTGATTAAAATAAAAATGTGTGGGCCAGGAATCGTTGTGCCACACTTTGGAGAAAAACACGTTGCATGAACGAACAGTAGCTAGACACAGGCCATCCTAGAGATGCTTCTGTCTAAGCAAGCAACACAGCTCCCTCTTTGGCATGGAGACAGGCACAAACATGCAATAAGCTCATATTTTGAGCCCTACTAGCACCAATTAGGTAGCCATGTACTAACTAATGTAGATACGTACTAGCAAACAGTACCTAGGTTCCTTCTAGATCTGTTGCCACATGGGATTTGTTTCAACGGCTTTGTACAGGGTTCTGCCTCTTGCTATTTGATTATCTCTTAGGGATACCGTTGCATTCTTTCTAAAGGTAGTATGAGCCTGGGCTAGTACCACCTTTTGGCACATTTTCATCTACCAAAGCCAGATGCAAAGGTTACTTGGTTCAGCAGGGCACGCACAATCCTGGATTAACAAAACACTACCTCTCAACTAAGCCTCTCCTTTTGGGACACACACCTGGAACACCCAAACAGTTTGGGAGGGGCTGCAGCTCTGATGTGCTTTCTGGCTGCTGATCTGTGCCTTGGGCTTGGCGTTGTTGGATAGGGTAAGCAGAGAGGATCCTGTTCAGTCGCTCCCTACCCCACAGTGCCAGCAAGCATGTTTTCCTTCCAAAGTAAGGAGGGAAAAATCTGGTGTCAGCTTTCCCAGCCTCTGTAAGTATAGCTCAGCAAACAAGCTGCACTGGGAGGGATCTTCACTGTGTGGGAAGGGGAGGTGCTACAGCCACAGCTATTTTTTTCTACCTAAAAATAAAGTCCCTAAGTCAGAAGATGAGAAAACAAAGTCCCTGAGCATATCCGCACCTCCAGGAGCGTCCTGCGACCATCGAGGACTTCTTCCTGGAGCAGAGTCCAGTTGATCTGCCTCTGTCCACCGTTTCCAGATCCGCCCTGCCTCCCACCCACCCTTCATCTGAAGCCACTTGATTCGTCTCCAGGGTCTGAGTCTCCCTCCTGATACAGTGCTTGGGTTAAACTTGGGTTTGGTCAAGGGAAGAAGCCATGATTCTATTCCTTTTTAGCACAACTGTAGCTGTTGTCTACTGCGGGCTGAGCCTGCCTCTTTGTCCTTCATTCCAGGCAGACAAAGTCAGTGCCATTAATAATCCTAATTTACAGCTGACGAAATAGAGGAAATAACTTTTTCTTTCTAATCAGAACAACCTTTTGTTTTTTAAATCTGGTCTTTCCCGTTTTTATCCATGTATTTATTACATTCTGGTGACTTTGACCCCGTCCTCCGTTGTGTCCCTTTAGCTCCTATCAACCTCTCATCTTCATCTTTTTTTTTTTTTTTGAGATAGAGTTTCTCTGTATAGCTTTGGTGATCCTGGAACTTGCTCTGTAGACCAGGCTGGCCTTGAACTCAGAGATCTTCCTGCCTCTGCCTCCGCAGTGCTGGGATTATAGAGGTGCACCACCACTGCCCACCTTCATCCTTTCTTTATGTTCCTCCGCAGTACTGGGATTAGAGAGGTGCACCACCCCTCTGCCTCCGCAGTGCTGGGATTACAGAGGTGCACTACCACTGCCCACCCTTCATCCTTTCTTTATGTTCCTTTTCCACAATCATATGCTTTTGTTTTTCGTTTATTTTATTTTTTTTGAGACCCAACGAGCTTACCCGGAACCATCTGTGTGACTGTGGCCTTACATTATTTATTTTGAGTGTGTGTATGTGCACACATGTGCCAAGGTGTGCAAAGGACATTGGTACAGTTGTTTTTTTTTTCCCTTCCATTGCGTGGATCCTGGGGATTGAACTCAGGTCATCAGTCTTAGTGGCAAGAGATTTGCTGAGACATTTCGCTGACCTCTGAGATAAATTTCTTAGGGCCGGATGTGGGGTAGAGCTGGGATTTGCACTCAAGCTTGTGCAAGGATTCTTTACATGAAGTCACAGAGCATCTTGGGAAGAAACGGGCCCCACAGAGCAAGTTTCCCTGAGTGGGTTTGTCTGGCTCTAGATGAACCATGACTGATGCGGGAGAATTGTCTGTATTCGGTCAATCATATTTTAATAAAACGCTGATTGGCCAGGCAGGCAGTATAGGCAGGAAAACCAGACAGGAAGCAGAGGTGATGCAATGAGAACAGGAGAATTCTGGGAAGCAGGGAGGTTCCTCTGTCATTCCTGCGCAGACCACCGAAGAGGCAACATGTAAGCTGCCACACTGAGAAAGGTACTGAGCCCATGTGGCTAACATAGATAAGGATAATGGGGTAATATATGTTATAAGAGTTAACAAGAAGCCTGACCTAATGGGCCAATCAGTTTATAACCTTATGGAGTCCTGTGTGTGATTTCTCTTTGGGATTTGCCAGCTGTGGGGTACCAGGCGGGACGGAAACCCCAACAAGCCGGCCCCCTCATGCTACACATGACTAGCTTCTGAGAGAGAGAGACAGAGAGAGAGAGACGGAGAGAGAGAGGGAGAGGGAGAGGGAGAGGGAGAGAGAGAGAGAGAGAGAGAGAGAGAGAGAGAGAGATTCCTCCTTCGAATTATGTCCCTGAAAACTCACCAACTACATTTCCATGATGGTATTTTCCAGAACCAAATTTTTTATGTCCTATGATATCACTGATTTGCTTGAACTAGTTGTTGGGAGAAAAATCTGATAAGGGCTTTCATGTCCTATTTTTCAAGAGAGGACTTTGCTGAATTCTAGAAACATGTGAGAGAGTCTGGCTGGGAAAATTTGATGTCTTTTGAGGAAGACAGGAGGAAACTCACACCGATGTCCAGAAACCTAGGCCATTTCTCTCTCAGGTTCCAAAGGGAGAGGTGTGGCTTCAGCTCACCAGTTTCCCCCTTCATATTGGAAAGGAGAGAGAAAGGCGCCAAGCAATGCGAGGTGCCCTGTATTACAGGGAAGTCGAATGATGTATTTTGACAGTCAATTTTCTCCATCTGATCCTTTTGAGCACTCTATCTAAATTATTTCCCTGTTTTCCAAAGAACTAAACAACAAACGATATCACTGAGCGCGTGCCTACTATACAACCCAGACAGCCAACAGATTGTCATTAAATTAACCCTGGGGCGTGACAGGTCTGCTCTTTTTGACCCCAACTGCTTGGGGGTATTCCTTATTAATGCTAAACCCAGGCAAATTACCTCTCCTAACAAAAGGGGTTAATCTGGCTCTTGGGGGGCTGACTCTGGAGACAGTTCTGAGGATGAAATGGGGCATAGCCAGCCTGGC